TAATAAAATGCTTTTTTATTTCTAGACTGTCCATTAAACATCAATTCAGCTAATCTTTTTTTTCAAATTAATTAATTAAATATATAATTGACATCCACTTATACGCATCAATAGCTATAGTACACGCGTTTGCCATAATTTTTTGTTGTTGTTGTTGTTGATTATAATCATGAAATGTTAAAATAATTTCAACAAATTATCACATCATTTTGATATTTGATAATGATGATGATGATGATGATGATCACGTTGTGAATCATCAACATTCAAATAAAAATCGACAACCAACCAACCAACCAACAAAAAAAAGCAACATTACCAAAGATAACATAATAATGAAAATTAATTTTAAATGTCAAACACGCACATCAATATAAAATTGAATAGAATCTTAAATTATCTGATATATAAAACCAAAACCAAACATATTTGCAGATTGTGAAATAGCAAAAAGATAGAGGATAGAGATAGAAGGAAATGTTCGTTTCGTCAATATTTGTATTAACGTTTGTCGTTTTTGTCATCACAAAAATTGGCATTGGCCAACCACATTAGAATGATTAAGAAAGAGGAAAATAAAAATAAAAATCCAAACATCCTCTTATATATATTATTATGTTTATCTAAGCATATATATTGATCAGATTATTATCAACAAAAACACGAATCGTTTGTTTTATACCAACAAAAACAAAGCCGAAAGAATGAAATTTTTCAAATGATCCAAGAATAATTCACTACTACTCTATTTTGTTTTACACATGTGTTTAATTCGATCATATCATTATTCAACAAAAAGAATCTGTCAATGTAAAAACTATCATCTACAGGGTGTTTGAATGTTCAATGTTAATTGAAGAAATGCATTCACACAATAATATCTATTATGGAATGTTTCATTGTTTTTGATTTGGCACCTGGTTTAATTCCTGTTTAAAACTCCCTCTCTCTTTCTCAAAAAAAAAGAAAAGATTCTCTATAACAAATGTATATCCATCATTAAAGAAATCAATCTGTTGATATATTCAAAATGATAATGATGATGATGATGATAATGAGTATTTGAAAGATAGAAAAAAAAATTAAAATTACAGTCGATTTTTTTTTATTGCTTGTTATTGTCGCCATTTTCTTTCTGTTTGTGTGTGTGTGTTGTCTAATCAAATTATCATTAGAAAAAAATTAGTGTTTAATCAAAGAAGAAAGAAGAATTCTCATACATTATCATTATCATTATCATTAGTACATTTGATTTTTTAAAAAAAAGTCAAAAGTTCAATTTATTATTGAAGGATGATTTTCTTTTCTCACTTTTGTTTCAATGATTGTTTTTTTCCAAAAAAAAAAATCTAATATGATCCATATAATCATATGAGGCGAACATGATCCAATCCGGATCTATAAAGAATGGATAAACAAAACAAAAGAAAAAATTTATCAAATAACAATTTTGGTTTCAAAAAGAAAATTTTTTTTTTATTATTGTCATTTCAACACATTTTGGTTTTTTTGGTTGAAAATTTTCAAAGAAAATTGGAATTTTTTTTCACCTCAAAAAAAAATAAGAAATTTTTATGATTCCATATCATCATACATCTTTTTTTTAAAAAAAAAAAATTTATGATATGATTATCTTTCGTATGATTAACCTCGATGATGAATCTGTGTGTTAATTTTTGTTGTTTTTTTTTGTTTGATGTTTCACAATCACAAAATCTAATATGATTGTCATAGTTAATCAAGAATTTTATTTTTTTTTGTATCTTTTTCCATCTAATTTGGATTTTTCACTGAATTTTGAGAGAGAGAATGAATGGAAAGTGTATGGAATTTTTCTTTTCCTAGATTGAATCGGTTTTTATCATTTCATTTTCATTGTATAGAACTACGTTCTTTTTTTGATGATAACATTCTGTTGTTGTTGTTGTTGAATAAAAACGATAATAACTTGTATACACATCACTGGTAACAAGTGTAAATTATTTGAAAAAAAAAATTTTTATTGACCACACACACAATTCAACAAGACAGTTATGGTCATTACTTGAGTTATTCGTTTCAGTTCTATCTCTTTCTTTCTTTCTCTGAATGTTGTTTCAAATTGGCCATAAAATAGTTTTTTTTTCATTTGAATCTTCAAATGAAATAATGTTGAGATGCTCTACAAAATGAAAAAATATAAAAATCTGTTATTTGTTGTTGTTGTTGTTGATCATGATTGAAAACCATCTGTACAAATTGGATTCAATCACACAACAACAACAACAATGACAGTGAAAGAAAATGAAGCTTTAGCTAGGTCTGATCTTGATTATCATAGAATCTTTTTTTTTATTATTATCATCAAATATATCTACCACTTTAATTTTATTCATGTCGAAACATTCTATCATTTTAATCAATCCAATAAAAATTGGTGTATGAAGCAAAGAAAGAAAAATTCATTGGTTTCAATGGTGGTTGATTAAATCTGTTCAATTTAATTAAAATCCATTCAAACCAATTCTCGGATTCAATGATTTAATTACATTTGACTTATAAAATTCAATTTGGTTTCGTTTTTTGTTGTTGTTGTTGTTATTATAAGGGTTAAACTTGTTAACAACCAGTAGCATAACTAATGTATCAGGTTTCAAGCAAATTAAATGAATTGAATAAATGTTTTTCATTACAACAATCAGAAAAAAAACAACAACAACAACAAAACGTTTGAAGTTGACCGAAAAAAATATATTTATTTTCTTCAATTCTTGGGAAACATTTTTTTTTAATTTTCAACCAAGAAATAAAGAAAGCCTAACGGTATTGATTACCAATTGTTGTTGTTGTTTCGGTTGACCAAAATTCTATTTAGGTCAACATATTATAGTTTTTAAAGTAATGAAATATTTGTTTGAAACGGTTTAATGTCTCAATTTAGCTCAATGGGAAGCCTAATTCTATGCTAAAAACAACAAAACACCCATCGTTTTTTTTCTTGTTACTCAAAAAAAAAAAACAACAACTATAACAACAACAATGGCACAAGGAGACCCCAAAAAAATGGACCATTAAAAGACCCAATTGCTTAATGGTTTCGTCTCAGCGCAAAAAAAAAAAGAATTATCGATCGCGATGACATGAGTTAGTGAGTTGGTGACGGTGGTGGTGGTGGTGGTTTCGCCGATTCCTTATAAAACATGATAAATGGTTAAGCGTGTCGATATCAATCAAATCTATTTAGGTTGTTTTAACATGTGTGTTTTTTTTTGCTACATAAAATTCATGAAATTTGATAACAATCAATTTTCGTTTGGCTAATTGTCCATATCTAAATTTGTTTGAAAATTTTTTAATAGTTTTTTTTGCTGTTGTTGTTTCGAAGAAACTGAATGACTGATTGGACAATACAAGATAAAAGATTTGCTATTATAGAATCACAAAAAACATCCGAGACATTGAACAAAACAAAATCAATACAACCAAATACCCAAGATATTTACTTTTTTATTTGATTTAATTAGTTATAAATATTACAATGTTTTCGACATATATTTGATATTCATATAACCAACATTTTTTTTATTTTTGAAAATGCAAAATACTCCTTAATGACGATGATGATGAGAATCTTTGTGTGTGTGTGTGTGCTTATTGTCGGTGTTGAACATTTTAAAATAAAAAGAAAACGAAACAAAAAAAAAGGTGTATATCATGTGCGTGTAGTTTTCTTTATCATCATCATCATCAATGAAGAATGACGATAATGGTGAAAAAAAAGAATAAATTCTTCATACTTTGGTTTCTTTTCTTTTCTTTTTTTTTTATATTTTACACTTACCTGAAAAAAAGATGCTATGTGCCTTCAAGCAATTTTTGTTTTTTGTTTTTTGTTTTTGTTTCACTCTTGTTTCGTTTGTTTTTATTAAATGTGTTTGTGTTTGCAGCATACATGTAAGGTAAGGTATTTTGGAGAATTGACATTAGAAAGACATAAGAAAAAATTGCCGCAAATGTTTTTTTCGAGATTCGGCATTTTGCATAGAGATTTCACCGCCCTTCATATCCATCCATCTGGTTTGTTGTTGATTGTCCACCACCACCAGTCCACAGGTCCAAAGGTAAAAAAATGACCAATAAAAAGAAAAAAAAATCAAATTACCAATATGAATATTCAAATGTGTGCCGATGTGGTTTTTGTTTGGCTCAAATCATCATCATCATTATGTTTAATATTTTTTCGCAGAAAATATGATTCGAAATTTTTTTTTTAGATTTTCAAAAATTTCTTTTTTTTTCAAACTTGTTATGTAACAACAAGTTATTTTTTGCAACATTAATGCGCCATCTAGTGATGATGAATCGTAATTGAGATTTCGAAAAAAAAGGTTTAATTAACAAATTGAAGAAAAAAAAATGAAACAATTTTGAAAAAAAATAAGTTTTTTTTATTTTCATTATAATTAATTAATAAATTTTATAAAAGAAACCAAAAAACAAAACAGTTTCAAAATCACAAAATAAAATAAAAAAATTTGTTTTTCCAAATAACAAAAAAAAACAACAGCAAAAAATTCAAACTCGTTGAGATACATTTTTAATTGATCGATTTTTTTTGAAAACATGGAAAAAAAATCAAATCAACATGAAAATAATGACTATCAATGTGATTACAATGAATTAAATTATTTCGATAACAAAAAACAAAAACAAAAACAAAAACTGAACATTTGGAATGACAAGATTGTAATTAATGATTCTTAATGAATGTAAGACAATAATTAAGAAAATAAAATTTAACGATAAAAATCGGAACACAAAAAATTCAATTATATATAATTGTTTATATTTCATTGATCAATATTATTTCTGTGAAGACAAAAAACAAAGTTCAATCGATAAAAATAAAGTAATTTTTGTTTGAAAATGTAATCAATAATTGATTCATAAACAATTGGAATCAGATGATGAATATTTCAAATGTATGAGCGTGTATATGAACAAATTTGTGTTCATCGATTTTTAATCACAATTAATAAATATTGATGAAAATGATAAAATGATGATTTTTTTTCATTATTTTTTCATAATAATTTGATGTTTGATGATGTTTCCTTTATTTTTTCTGCGACATTAGGTTGATCTAATAATGGTGGAGAATATGTAATGAATTCAATCCAGCCATTTTCCAAAACCTTTTGATATGAATAGGGCAAATTCCATGAATCACATGGAATTGTAGTAGTAGTAGTATGTTGCCATGGATTTAATGAAAGCAATTGTGAATTGTTAAATGGGTTAATCGATTCCATCAAATAATGATTATGCTGTGGAATTACATTTGAACCATAGGATTGTTGTGATGATAATGATGATGAATTGATAATGTTGTTTATAATAATAGAGTTGCGAAATATTCCAGAATCCATTGGATCATTAAAAATTACTGGAATACGATTAACAACACAAAAAGTAAAGTTTTCCGGTGGTGAAAATGGGATTTGTAATGTTGAAACAACATCATTAATGGACATTTTGAGATTTGGAAAGTCTAATGGAAACAACGAATCAGGTAGATGTTTAAACGGAAACTCACTAGATTGATAAACGTTAGATACTTGTTTAATATTAAATGAAAGACGATCGTTGAAGGAATTAAAATCACATTTTGTATTATTTGGACAAAAATCTTCAATCAATTTATACGATATCGGATCGATTTTGTGCAATGAGCTATGAGATATGATATAATGATTCAATCGTTTTGAATGATGATTATTTAAATTAATTTGCTGAAATAATCTTTTCGGTAATAAACAAAATGAATATTCTTCAAATGAATGATGAATCTTTTCATAACATTCAATAAATCTCAAAAGATTATGATGCCTTTTAGCTTTTGAAACATGTTTTTGTGCATTATCATATACAAAAGTTACCAATGTCGGTTTAACTGATTTGTTTGAAGAAAATAATGTTTGATGTAGGCAGATATTATTTGTTTTCAAACAAGCACAACGATAAAATCGTTTTGAACTCATTGATGAACGTGATGGATATTTATCAATAAATTCTCGTAACATAGTACAAAAACAAACGGCGGTAATTTCCGTATATTTCTTGATTAATATATCTCTGTTAAAACTTTTGTTTAACGATCGTTTCAAAACCGAACAAAAAATTATCAAAAACTGATATTTCAACATTGTTTCGTCGCCAAAATGGGCCAACATGTAATTACATAATCGATCGCGATGACATTCAAATTTGTTGAAATCGATAAAAAACCGAGACACCATATATGGCTCTAACGTCATCATTGTTTTATGGCACAATGGTTTAAAACCACGAACCAAAAGAAAGCAATACTTGAATAGACCACCACCGCGTATTTTTTCTGGATAATTTGTAACAATAAATTTATTGTCAAGATGGAAAAGAGCTTCTTGATAGTCACCATAAACGCTTTCACAAATTATTTGCTTTGTTGTAGATGCATCATCTAAAACATTGTCCAATAAAATTTGAAAAGAATCAACACTAAATTCATATTGACGACAAATTTTATCGACGAATTTCATTTCAATCGTACAGCCATTGAAATTTTTGATACTGAATAAAGACCAACGTGCTTCATTATCGGTAATTTTAACCATTTTTGTCAATATTTGTTCTAAGATTAGATGATGATCCGGTTCGATAATGTTGGGAACGCATAAATCCAAAAGAATTTGGTAGATACATTCTCGTATTGATTCGAAATATGATTCATTTTGAAGGTTTACGTTGAAAATAATATCAATATCATTATATTTGAGTTCATTGCGATTATGTAATACATATGAGGCAGCACCACCATTAAGACGTATATCACGAATAATAATATGATTGTTATTCAGTTGTCGCTGAATAATTTGTAAAAAAATCATCAATGGAAAATTTATATAATTTGTTGATGATTTATCATATGGCGAAGATTTTGGATCGGTATCGACAATAATAGAAATTTCTTTTTTGAGAATTTCGTTCAATACATGCGATTGTTTTGAATTCAAAACACCAAAACGTTTATCACTTAAATCAAATGTTTGTTCATTTATTTTAACAATTTGTTCATTGTTGAATCGTTCCGAATTAATTACAGATTGATCGATTTGAATAGATGAAGATTGTTTATGACTCGTATCATTATACTTGTGTGATTCCATATTTGATTGATATATGGCCAATAGTTTCAAGATGATTTAACGATCTAATAACGAAAAAATAAATAAATAAAAAACGACAAAGAATTAACAAAGGCATAAAAATAAATCAAATCATACATCTTAAAGCAAAAAATTATTTGCTAAATATACGAAAAAACCAATTTTATCATATAAATGTTTAATCAACAAAAAAAATGTTGTTTGATGATTTAGTTGAACCGATAAATTTGGATGATATTTGAATCGATAGAAGGAAAAATGTAGCAATTTTTTTATAAAACAAATCGAATGTCAGATGATGATGATTGAAGCAAATTATTGTTACAAAAGTGACAAAAGTATTCATTCATTTGATTTAAATAGTGTACAGATAAATATCCAATTGACTATATAAACAAACAAACAAATAAAACGATTGGATATGGCCATTCTTAAAACAAAACAAAATTATTCACAAAACCCAATTGACCAATTTCGAATCTTTTAACAAACATGATCATACACAACAAGTTGCAAAACAAAAAAGAATATAAAACCGCTGAATAAACTATCGATACAATCGATATTGACTGTAATAGAAGAATAAATGGAATTTACCAGAAAAAATTGAAAAAAAAGAAAGAAATTTCAATCGATTTTCAACAAATAAAAACAAAAACAATCGTATATAAAATATTGTGGGATATTACGTTCGGTTCATTGAATGTATATGACATTTTCTGGCAATTATAATGATGATGATGTCAATTCATTAATAATTTGTCAGCAAAAATAAAAAACGAAGAAAAAAATTAACCAATGGATCAGATATATAAATTGTTATCATATATGAAACAAAAAAAAAATTTGATTGATTTAACTTGATTTGATTTGATCATAATGTTTTGAACAGGATATAAAGCAGTCAAGGATATAAAAACCCTCAATATAAAAACAATTATCATCTGTTGTTGTTTTTTTCTTCAAATCTCGAAATGCTAATTGAAATCGAAAATATTTTCTTTTCATTCTTTGTTGTTTTTTTTTCTTCTTCTCTTATTATCAAGGTGGATAATAAGGCTTTTTTGCTTGAATGAAATAAAAATTATATTCATTTTATAAAGAAATTAATAAATAATTTTCCAATGGTTCATAATGATCATGATCATTATTATCGATTGATTGATTGATATTTTACAGATTTTCTGATTATAATTGTTTTATTTTTTTTTTTTTTTTTTTTTTTTTAAAAAAAAAAAAAGTTGTTTTTTTTTTTGGAAAAAAAAAAACAAA